TTATCAGAATTCCGTCGGAATTATTATTATTCGGCTGGAGCTATCAAAACTCCGTTGCAGTTATCAAAATTCCGTCCGAATTATCAAAATTACGCCGTTATTATCAAAATCCCGTCTGAATTATCAACATTCCGTGAGAATTACCACAATTCTGTCAGAATTATCAAAATTCTGTCAGAATTATCAACATTCCGTCGGAATTATCAAAGTTCGGCTGGAATTATCAAAATTCCGTTGGAATTATCAAAATTCCGTCCGAATTATCAAAATTCCGTTAGAATTACCATAATTCCGAAAGAATTATCATCATTCTGTCGGAATTATCAAAATTCCGACAGAATTTTTAAAATTTCGTTGGAATCATCATCATTCTGCTAGAATTATCAAAAATCCGTCGAAATTATAAAAATAAAATTTGAAAATAAGAATTTTCAAAATTGCGTTAAAATATAAAAATTCTGGCAAAATTATCAAAATTCCGGTGGAATTATAGAAATTTCAGCAGAATTATGAAAACTCCGTCAGAATTATCAAAATTCCGGTGGAATTATTCGGAATTATCAAAACTCCGGAATTATCAACATTTTGTAGGAATTATCAAAATTTTCTTCGGAATTATCAAAATTTCTTCGCAATTATCAAAATTTCGTCGGAATTATCAAAATTGAAGCAGAGTTATCATAATTCAGTTGGAATTATCAAAATTTCGGCGGAATTACAAAATTCAGATAGAATTATCAACATTCCGTCGGAAATATCAAAATTCCTGTGGAATTATCAAAATTCCCGCGGAATGATAAAAATTCCGGCTGGAATTATCATAAATTCAATTAAAAAAATTCTGTCGGAATTATCAAAATTGAATTGAATGATAAAAATTCCGTCGGAATTATCAAAATTGCGGTGAAATTATAAAAATTCTGGCAGTATTATCAAAATTCCGGTGGAATTATAGAAATTTCGTTAGAATTATGAAACTCTGGCGGAATTATGAAAATTCCGGTGGAATTATTCGGAATTATCAAAATTCCTGCGGGGTGATCAAAATTCCGTCGGAATTATCAAAATTATATCGGAATTATCAAAATATCGCCGGAATGATCAAAATTCCGTCCTAATTATCAAAATTTAAGCAGAGTTATCAAAACTCAGTTGGAATTATCAAAATTTCGGCGGAATTACAAAATTCAGATGGAATTATCAACATTCCATCGGAAATATCAAAATTCAGACGGAATTATCAAAATTCCCGCGGAATGATAAAAATGCCGGCTGGAATTATCAAAATTTCGGCGGAATTATCAACATGCCATCAAAATTATCACCATTCCGTCGGAATTTTCAAAACAACGCTTCGGAATTACGAAAAAACTCCACCGGAAGTTTGATATTTTCGGCGGATTATCAAAAATCAACACAAATTTTAAAAATATCCTGATCTTTTCATGGACAATTTGCTCGAGCATCTTTCGAGACGAAGAAGCAGAAGACCATGCCATCAAAATAGCAACACCAGCAACAAAGCCGCAATTTCGCGAAACTACTCGTGTTACAGGCCGTGTTCGAATTATCTTTGAACCTTAATCTCGATCGGTCGCATTTCTGGATTACGACGATGACTGCGAACCTTTTGCACCGGCACGCATATTCCTCCTTCCAATTCCAGTGTTCAGTGATTGCATTTTTTTTTGCATTGATGGCGCAGGTGAGATAATTCATATTTTGCTGTTGTCACATGACTTGAATGGGTGTCGGTACACGTATGAATAGAGTGAGAGGGAGATTGAGCAGGAGTGAAAGGGGAAGGGGAGTGTAGTTCGGAAGCATCTTGCCATACAAGGCGATTACACGGACCGAGTGGGTTGCGGTCGGTGTGCTCCGGTTTCGGTGGTATCCAGGAGTCTGCCGCACTGGTCCATAGATGGGAGTTATTTTTCAAAAAGAAAGACCACTGAAACAGGGAGATTGTCTCGCTGAGATAACTTAATACGGGTTGCAGGGCAAATTGGAGCAGGTTTGCGATAATCAAATGGCCCTATATGGAGCGATTTGGGGGATAAAAATTAAATCTTTATGGCTCAAAGTGAGGGTACGGACGGATATGGCATTCCATTCTTGTAGTTTGATTGTGTCAGCTGATAAAGATTGCATAATTTTGATGTTAAGAAGTGGGCATACTTTGTTGTATATGGGTAAAAGTTGAGTACCTGATACCTAATACAATCAGGTGATTAAGAAATCATGTTTTAATCAATCATATCGAAACTATGCTAAGTAGCCAAAACCCTGAGCCAGAAGAAGAGAAATACCACCCAAAAATCGTCATCCAAGGTGGCACTCGCAAAGCCCTCCCAATCTGGAAGTCTTTCTTTCGCTTAAATCTTGAGCAATTTAAATTCGAGCAAAAATCACCGCAGCAAAGCGCACGTTTCGGATCGGATCAATCAAGCCAAACATGGTCAAAAATCATTTCTTATCCTCGATTGCAGTTTGTAGTAGTACCTACCAAACCTTTTAACTCAGAGCGGCCAGGAAATGGAACGTAGCACACGTACCGCCTGCTCTTGAATTAATTTATTTAATTTGCACACCGCTGACAGTCTTCACTTGCTCCCCCACTTTGATTTTGTTTTAGTGTTTCAACTTGACGCTTGCTGCATATCCTACAAGGATCGGCCACTGCACGCTGCTGGCCCAGTGCGGACTAAAAAATGAATTAAATTATTATAAAATCCATTTACAGCTTTGGTGGTTCTCTGACCATTTTTGGATTTGATGATGGTGAAAAAACAAAATCCAGGCGAACAAAAAACAATCCGAAACTGGTTCACTCATGTCACCGCGTCATCGGTGAGAGGGAAATTGATACATTAAAATCAATGCTCGGCGGCTTGTTGAAATATAGGGATGTATATTTTGTGTATGTTTCGCGAATGTCAGAAATTATCAAATTTATAGACCTCGCGTCGGCGTGTGTCAGCAGTGCAGTTCGGTGCGGTGCGGTGCTCTTTTATTTATGTTAAAATTCGAGTGTTTTTCGATAATTTCGATGTCTTCCGGACCAAATATGGGCCGGTTGGTTTGGTAGTGATGGGTTCTTGTTTTAATCGCAGCAGGTACAGTAACTAGTGACAGAAACATGCCAATGTAGTGCAACTGCTGCAAAAGGTCACTAACAATATCAACGGCTTCCTCAAAGGCACTGTGCGCTAAGAGTTGCGATTGACTGACTGCAGCCGCCAAGCTTTTCAAGCAAGATATCTCCGACGGGTGACAGGTACAGTGTCCAATTTTTCGAAAGGATTCTGCGAGCAATGGTCGGTACTGGAAACTTCTGGCTGTAAGGAGGAAGAGATTGTGAAACATGTTCTGTTGTTAATTTCTGGAGAGGTTTAACTGCAAACCACATGGCATGAACCTTACATATTTTCTCACAACAAATGTAATGGAATGAACTGTTACGTTCAAGCAAGTTTTTCCAGAATTGATGTTTTCGTATAAAACCTTCATGAGATGATTTTATATTGGCAGCGCATTTGTGGATATAAACTTTGTTCGAAATATAAGCTATCGCATATTAGCTTATTGCGTGCTCTCAATTTAGTGTTCTAGATGCACTTCCACAGTTTTTAATTAAGAGCTTTCGATGCCTCTACCATTTTTGCATTAGTATACTTGTGTGGTAAGTACAATCATCGTCGTCGAGAAATATTCCAACCCGAAAAATGTCTAGACCGAACCGGGAATCGAACCTTTGCCGTAGCTGAGCCTTTGCCGACTGAGCTAAGGGAGGCCCATATTGCTAGTATGCAACAAATTCGTTACAATGTCATAAGCCCAATTCACATAAACCACTAGCAGAAGGTTTCAGTATTCCCGCGATCTTAAAAACCGGCGTAAATCTTGCCCCCTCAGCTTCTCCATGAGGCACAAACATCACGAGACACCCTCAGGGCACCAAATCGAGTGCCATGAGCCACGCGGTCCAAATTTCGATGAAAATCAGTCTGAATTTATGAATCAGTAATTGATTCACCTGTGCTCAGCTGTCCCCAAAGTGGCCTTTTTCGGTGTGCAATTCAGAATGCCTTATTTGTAGCAAATCAGCAAGGGTTCCACTACCCTCCCGCCACTGTACTGTTTTCACCGCCCCAAGTGCTGGAATAAAAGGTCCCATCCGCAGCTCGGACTAATGCTATGCTACGCGGAGCCAGAGGGACGAGGTCGATTTCGCACCTCCGGCGAAATCCAGTTTCCCGTCAAGAAAAATAAGGTGCGTGCACGAATAGCTATGCAGATGGCGTCGGGTGACGGGCTGGCGGCGTCTGGCTAGCCTACTATGTGTGACGATTATGATAATTCAAAAGTGGTGCGCGGCCAACTTGGTCGGTCATCTTTACGGTACCTAGGCGACGACGACGACGACGACAACGACCAAGACGTTATAACGGCGCTCCCGTCGCAGTCTCGAGAGTCGTGGTCTCCTAAGAAGCTCATTTTGCCAACTTTATATGTGGAAAAAATAATGACTGATCATAAGTTATAAAGTTTCTTGTTTAGCTGTGCAGCTTTGACTTGTTTTCATTTTTAAAATCAATTATTACTATTTAACACCTTTTATATTTGAATTAATAAGCCCAGAGAGTCGACATCGCGAGCTAATGTGCCGTGACTTGAGGAGTCGAGCTTATTGGGGTGGACTGGATCTCACACCTTTGCTTCGGTGGCGTAAAGGTGAATTAACACAGCCATTGGATTGCCGTGCAGCGTGGTGGAAAATTTTTATAGACTCAAACTATTTATTTCGAATAATAATAATTTGTTGCCGAGTGGCTGCTTGGAAGACCGTGGAAAATCCGTTCATGTTGGTCGTTATTTGCAATCAAGAGCAACTGGCGTGGAATTCAGAGCAATCTCGAATCTACAAGCGCTTCACCAAGGTTATACAATGTAGATTTTATGGACTACGAAAGTTCGTTCAGCTAATTACCCATACTTACGTCAGTCTCCCTTTAAGATGTTCGATCCATTTATCCTGCTCGAGGCTATTTTCGTTGTCCATATCAAACAACCGGAACAGGTTCTGCAGAAAAGCCTGAAATTGAAAAAACAAAATCACCGTCAGCAGAATGTCAATCACTCTTTCCGCACGCATATGTAACATTAATAGCCAATTTAGGGCCGCTACTAAATCAAACAGATCAGAGCGCTCGGGGGAAAAGGTCGACCGCGAGTCTGACCGACCGATCGACCGTTTCGATATCCTCTGATTTAAAATTCAAATTAAATGTTTACCTATATAAATTACATCCACTTTCCATGCCGGCACGGCTGTCAACACACATACAGGGAAACGGTGTGCCTGCTCGGCTTTCAACGCGAATCCCGAATTGTTCCCGTTGAGATTATTGGCCGTAACGACGAAAGACGATGGGTGAGCGAGCACATGCCAAATTAACATGCAATTCCTTGAACGTACCAAACGTGGGGGATTGAGGCTAAGGAGGCTTATCGCAGCCGACCACTTTTCACCATTTAAGCATCCGAAAAGTCCACGTTAAAGTCAGTGAAACAATAATCCAACCGACCATGCACAAGGAAAATCTCTTAAATGCCCGGATCCCGAAATTAACCATCTGTGATTTTGCTTGTTTCGGTGGGCACGAAGTCTGAAAGCGCACACGAGCTTCATGTTGAAGCTCACTCACCCAGCGGGTTGCCGTCGAAGGGATCTTGCTTGATGAGGAATGAGGATGGGGGACGGATGTTCGATTGGATGCCGACGGGGAAGATCGAGTTCCAATGTAAGCAAATGGGTCTGAGAGGAAACGGTTCATGGGGGGAGGGGTCCAAGGGAATGACTGTAGATTTGTTCGGTTGACACTTCGATTGCCGCCGCTGTCCGAGTGATTTAACTCTTGTTGTGAAGCGGATAAAACGTGTAGTTGCGTTTAACGAAAGGATTCAAAATATCGTCCACTCTGCATAACCTGATGCATGTAGGAATATGCAACTATCTTACTTGATAAAAAGGCATCATCGCACTCTAATGTTTAGTTTGTTTTGATCTCAATGGTTTTAATGATGTGGTAATGTAAATACATAGCTAATTGTAGTACTCAATTCTGTTTTCACGTGATTTATTTTTCGACCTTAGTTTTGATCATGTGAACTCAAATTTAGATTAACTTGTCAAATGTGTCAAGAATGACTCCCGAGATCTTTCACAGCATTTACTCACTCTAGTTGTGATAGGCAAGTTTTTACACTAGTTTTATTTAATTGACTAACATAGTGAATTTATAATTAATGGAACACTCTGTAGGGTTCATGATGAGAAGTTCAGATGATTTTTTTTAGAAAATCCCAAGGTAGTTATGAGTAGAATTACCTCTTAATTTTGAGGAGGGCTCCATGTAGATTGTGACGAGAAGTTCAGGAGAATTTTAAGGAGAATTTCAAAGGAATTTCTGAGGAGCATTCCAAAGATGAAGAGCTTTGAGTGTGTTGGTTTATTTCCTTTAAATTCCGTTATAATTGCTTATCTTTTGACAGATACGCGTATTTCGTCTACTACTTACAGACTTCATCAGTGGCAAGTACTCAACACCACTGTTTAGTACTTGGCACTGATGAAGTCTGCAAGTAGTAGACGAAATACGCGTATCTGTCAAAAGAAAAGCAATTATAATGGAATTAAAAGTAAATAAATCAACACACTCAAAGCTCTTCATATAGGGATTCCGTTAAGAGGTTCGACAAATTTAAAAGATTCCAAAGATGTTTAAATTCAAGTGCATTATGACTAGGAATCTAAAGGAATTCTGAATTCTGAAAATTGTGATAACATTTCCAGAGAAATCTGAAACTGATGATAGTTTCGAATGAGTTCTAAGGAGAATTTTATTCTGTCGGAAGCATATCAAAGGTAATTTGCCTACACATGATTTTTGTTTTCTTTTCTTTCTAGAATATCCATTTGTCATTTGCAAATGTACTAGACCATTATTTAAGAATTAATGAGGCTTGGTACCAGGGCTCTACATTCTCGAAGCTCTAAAATGAACTCGTGTTTTGTTTCTCTCATACATACGTGTTCGACGCTTCATTTCTATAACGCCTAGCTAGACTATCAGCAAGAAACGAAAATAAAAAAGCAGGACGCTTAGAAGGAAAGGCTGGCTGTGGAACTTCTCGTCGTTGCTTTGCTCGTCGCTTTCAATGTAACTTACGTCGATTTTATAGTTAAACGAAACCTCATTATGGCTTTCAATCCCCTTTCACGAACACTCTATCACCGCTCTTACAACTTGTTTAAAATGCGTTAAGTCCCGTTTTCGATCATTTTTTTTAGATAAATATATGGATGGAAGATAAATTAAAAATATGACGTGTAATCTTCAAGTGTTTTCACGTGAGAAATGCTTTAAATATGTTATTTCATTTTCCGTCATATACGTCATGAAACCTCTGTTGATGTGTTTCATGAAAGAGAAAACTATCAAAGTCGAGCGCTCTTTCGCTCATCCGTTTCACCGAAGCTTGAAAGGAAGACCAATGGAGCGACGGGAGAAAGAGAGACAAGCGATTTTTTTATATATCAATTACTTTATTTGTACAGGCTTAATCGAATAAACTTTACAGAGCCGAGTTATCATTTTCGTTATACATTATTGATGTCTTATATTTAAAGTTAAAGGAGCTGGACCGGATACTCGCGGTTGTCTCGAGGTTAGTGGAGATTTACAATTTTTTTGGATGGAAAAAGGGAGAGGGAGGTTTGAAATGTGGTTTACGATACAAATATTTAATTTATCCTAAAACATGAACTAATTTCTATTCATCTTGAAAACAAACATAAAAAAAAACTTACAATCTAATGTTAATATTCTTAAAGTAAACATATATGAGTTTCATAAACTCCAGATCGCGTCTAGCCAAAATATCCCGAACTGGAACATTAGGTTGTCTACCTCGAGCCCGAAGGGTAATCGTACAGTTCAGATCTGACAGAGACAAGCGATTGAACATTTGTTTGTGCACGCCGACTGAGGTTCTAGAATGCTGCGAAGCTGTTCTACTTTAACAGAAAAAGAAAGCCAGCAGTCTCTTCGTCGCATCGATTTGGTCGATTGAAACTGATATTGTGACGCTCTGCTTGGTACTTCAATAAAACTAACACGATGAGGATCGGGAAGACTTGTTGAATACCAAGATAGTTTTGAGAACTGAGAATTCTGATACAAAAGTAGGATAGTTCCTAAGGAATTATATGCATAATTTCGATTCTGATGATGGTTTCAAGGGAATTACGAGGAAGATTATAAAAGAGCTTTTAGGAACATTCTTGAGTTGAGGAGTTTTACGAAAATTTTGGTAGAATGCTTGAGAATGCTGTAGAGTAGAATTCTTAGGAAATTTTACAGGAGTACATTTCATTGAGCTTTGTACTTCAAGGAAATTTTGTTGAGGATTTCAAGCGAATACATATTGAAACAAATCTTATGGAATAATAGAAGAGTTCATATTGAATTTACAGGAGAATTACAAGACAATTCTGAACAGATTTCCTAGTCCAGAATTCCATGATAATTCTGAAGAGTCTTCTTCGTCTTCTTCTTTTTTGAATTTTAAGAAATGAACCAGCCTACGACTGAAAATCTCTTTAATAAAGGTAACCTTATCAACGTTATTTGACGTAATAAATCCCTACTGAGACTTTACGCCGGCCCTCAACTTATTTAGTGCTATTTGATCACTTCCACAGTTGTTAATTAAGAGCTTTCTAAGCCTGTACCATTTTTGTATTGGTATAATTTGTGTGGAAAGTACTGCCCAGGAAAATCGATAAATTTTTCAACCCGAAAAATTCCTAGACTAGACCGGGAATCAAACTCAGCCGCCTCCAGTATCGTCTTGTTCTATGGCTGCACCTTTACCGACTGAACTAAGGGAGGCTCGGATTCTAAAGGGTATATTAGTATATACTAAGGAAATTCTCTTGGGCTACAAAATGGTGAGTGACAATCTGGAAGGAGCGATATACCTAGCTCCGGTCCTCACAAGTTCCTACCTCACGCCTCCACGAGTCATATGATCACAAAAGACTGCCAGCTGAAACATGGACACAGCTGGTTGGCGTAGCCTGGGCAATGTTGTCAATCCGACAATAGCAGAGTGAGGAGGTGCGACGCGAACACTGGTGCGGTAACCATAGCACGGTGATAGAGGAAATGCTTCGCCAACCCGAGCGTCTGTTCACCATGGAGGTGCGGCTCAAACAGCGTCTGACTGGCATCCAGCGGCTGAATAAGAAATGCTCTTCCCCGGAAGCTACACCTAAAATGGCAGACCCATCACGGCGGATAGGAGACCTTAGGCCAACCACCTACTGTCTCTGAAACCTTTACAATTGTTACAGAAACCAACAGAGAAAGACATCGAACTGATATAACGGCAACGACTTTTAGCGCAAAACAACGGACACGAATTGGATCATGGAATGTATTGACGTTAGCCCAGCAGGGTAAACTGGCACAACTCTTCAACGAGGCGCGACGCATGAAGCTAGAAATCCTGGGACTGAGTGAAGTTCGTTGGCCAAACTTTGGAGAACACAAACTGTCGTCGGGACAGGTACTACGCGAAACGAAAATCAATTATTTTATTTATGTGTTTCACTTATACATTTTTGCCAAAACATCAGCATTATACATTCCATAAGACAAACCACACAGGTCCTATAAGAATGCATAAAAGGTATGTGTGACCGCTTATACATTTCATTTGACACATGATCTTCATTAACTTTTTGCAAGGCGTTTGCTTATTAGTTGACTTATACATTTTATGAATAATCAGCAATAGAAATTTGCCAAAAGGTATAAGGAGATTTCTATCCGTGTACTATACTCTGGTATTCGAGGTGAAAACGCTCCCCGCCATCGTGGAGTTGGTCACACGCCGACTTGAAGATCCAGCGGTAAAAAGGTCTTTTGTTCATGAACTTGAGACTCGAGCTGCGGACGTTCCAGAAGGTGGCAGCGTAGAAGAACAATGGACGGCCATCAAGAATGCCTTTATAGAAACAAGCGA